AGAGAAAGAAAGATGGAAAATGAGAAGTTAACCCCCATCCGAGGGGGGGATGGCCATGCTGTAATCCCTTTTCCCCACTCTCCTCTCAGGATTTTGGGCTGTCCAAAAACACACCAGGTGTGATTCTCAAGCCACTGGGTCCAGAACTCGAACTATGAAGCTGGCTGCTTAGGATCTAGCATCTCAACCTCCTCCCCACCTGCTGGCTCACATTAGTGATATTTAAAATATTTTCCTTCAAGAGTATTTACTATTACCACCTTACATTTTGGGGGAAAAGAAACATAAAGATGGTATGACTCTTTAATGTATTTATTGAAAATAAATTTTATCTTTTTCACTCTCTTATCCCTCTACTTATGACATGGTGAATGCTTCAGAAATTTGAATGTGTAATGTGAATTTTCATAAGTATTTGGATAAATAACATGATTTGTACTATCGAAACAGAAATGCTATAATTTCATCTTGACACAGTAAATGTTTCTACTTTACTCAGTGTAAGATTGTAAATTCCTGAGTGTCATAAGAAGTATAAAATATAAATAAAAAATGGACCTTCTGATATAGTCTATCACCTGGCACTTTCAGGGTGATAGCTGTGAAAGCACAGATAGTGCATCTTCTAGCAAGTAAATTAGCTAAAATAGAAGGTCTTTTCTAAATCTATTTTAGAGTCAGAAAGTCTTGCCCCAAGTGGGTATTATGGAGGTGAGAGACTTCGAGAAGTTTGTGGAAATGCATATTATGAAAAGATATGCATGGATTTCAAAAAATGTTTGTACCAAAACAAACTCGTAATTTAATTCCATTTTTGTACAAAGTCTTAAGGCCCCGAATATTTTCATATTTGCAAGATAGTACCAGGAAGATACCTGCTGCGTTTCCTGGGTTCTGAAGGTTTCCTATTGCTATATAAATCTAAGTTGACTTAGAAAAGTTAATTAGTCCACTGCCTCACCCTCTTAATTCTTTGCTCTGCTCTTTACCCATCTTAGGCTCACTTCCTTATATACATTCTCAACTCTCATGCTTCTCTCCTTTGTATATGCATATAACAAAAATTCTACCATGGTTATATCAGTTCATCAATTTCATGTCTACTTACATACAGCTGAAAATCATATAATCATTCCAACTCATCTCACAATAAATTTATGACCACTACATTCATAAGGCCCCTAGTGAAAACCAAAATTCTTATGATGTAGCCATAGTCTATTGTCTCCCCTATTTTCTTAGGTTTCTATTTGATACCTTCTCAAAACTCTTACTATTTCTTCTGCTGTCCTCATTCTCATATGACGACCCTGCTTTCCAGTTCACTGAGAAAACTGAAACAATGTGAATTTCCAGACTTATATCTACCAATCCACAACATTTTCACCCATTTCTCAGCACCCCCCCACTTCCATGGATAAACTGTCTCATACTACCACCTAAAGCTACTTGTTCATCAAATCCTAGTCTATCCCATCTACTTAAAGATACTGTTCCAGCAATTCTTCCCTTTCTTCCCTGACGTTATCAATCTTTTAGTATATCATTCTCATTAGCATACAAACATTATTATTTCTCTCATCTTAAAAGCAACAACAACAAAACCCCCCATGGTGACACACTGTTAAGACACTGCTCCACAGAATAAGACTACACAGGAAGCCTGGGTTCAATTCCCAGTCCAATCTAAAGGCTGAGCACAGTGACTACTGAGGTAGGAGGACTGTTCTGCTCTTTACCCACACCATCTTCTTCAACTCCTTTCTTCACAAGGCTTCCAGGGTAACATCCTTTGGTTTTCCTTTGAAATCACTGGCCATTCTTTCTCATTTCCCCATTCTCTGAATGCTAGTGATCAATACCTCTGTGGCTCACTCTGCAGATCTTTTCTACTTTCTCTTTCTACCTATCATCAGCTTTATGGCTGTACAAATAGTTCAATGTTGATGACTTCCAGACTTGTATCTCCAACCGGATATCTTCCCTGGACTTCTAGATTCATACACCCAGTTGTCTGCCCAACTTTATCTCCTAGATGTCTAATTGATAACTCATTTAATATGTTCAAAACCAAACTTCTGATTTTTCTCTATCAAACTTGCCCCGCCATCCTATCCAGCGGCAATTCCATCCCTCCACTTCCTCAGGGGCAGAGTCTTAGTGGTCACCCTGAATATCCTCATTTTCACAACCCGCATTCAATCTGTGTTGCTTCCTAACACCTTTATCTAAAAAACACATCCAGAATATGACAACTCCTTACCACTTCTACTACTGAATTACAGTCTCCTAACTGGTCTTTTTCTACTCTTGACTCTTACTGGTATGTTTTCAATCCAGAAGCTAAAATGATATTTAAATAGTAAGTAGACTTAGATCATTCTTCTGCTCAAAATCTCCAATGACTTGCCACATCTCTTAGGCCATGTCCTGTCAAACCCTGCACAAAGTTGGTCTGCTCAAATACTCTGCTTCCCCTCACACTGCATTTCTGATCTCTGTCCTCCTTCTCTCCCCATAAGGATAACTAGTGAGATTCCTCACAAAGATCAGGCACCCTCTGCCCTCAGAGCATTGATACTTACTGTTTAATGAAGAACATTCTTGCCAGAGATCTCCATATTGCCCATCACATTAAGTCTTTCTTTGAATACTTTCTTTATCATGTGGCTCTTCCTTGCCATCCTATTTAAAACTGCAAACTCGTCCCCTCTCAATAGTCCCCATTCTCCTAACCCTAATTTATGTCCCACTCTAGCCCCTTTTTGCAATCATGTATGCTGTATCTTTCTTTCATTCATTTATCATTTATCTCCTATCATAGGAATCTTAGCTCCATGCAGATTAAAACTGTAGTTACTATAGTTTAATAATGTAGTCCCAGTTAGCTGGCACACAGTAAGTACTGAATAGTTGTTCAATCAATCTGACTCAGAATCAAGGGCCTATTATATGTGAAGATACTAGCATGAGTAAGGATTTTACACAACATTTAAAGAATTTGAAATAAATAGGAAAGACGATATCAACTGGCCATATCCTTCTTGAGTTAAAGAATCATAGCGTAGTGGCTATGCCACTGGCCTCCCACGTAGTTGACCGCGGTTTGAGTCCCGGACCTGGTGGCTTAAAACTCACGCCGGGCACGTGTGCGTACGTGCCCAAGATCCTAAGAGGAGAATGGAGAAGAAGGGATTGCGGCGTGACCATCCCCTCTGGGGGGTGATTTTTCGCTTTCTGTCCCTATGTCTCTGTCTGGCGAGTGCACGCACCCTATAGCGAAAACCTCTCCAAAAAAAAAAAAAAAGAATTATAGCTAAAGAATGGAATGGTTAAAAGGCCACAATTAGGGATCAGCAGTTAGTGAAATGGTTATGTCGCTGGACTCCCATGTAATCAACCACGGTTCACGTCCCAGATCCGGTGGCTTAAAACTCACACCCGGTGCATGTGCCCAAGTGCCCAAGACGAGAATGGAATGGAGGAGAAGGGGTTGCGGCGTGGCCATCCCCCCTAGGGGGTGATTTTTCGCAGTCTCTCTGTCTCTCTCTGTCTGGTGAGCGCACGCCCTATAGCGAAAACCTCTCAAAAAAACAAACAAACAAACAAACAAAAGGCCATAATGAGTTCTAATACAAATAAAACCAATTCAAAATGGAAGATAATTTTTTTTTGAGAAGTTTTTTTTGCTATAGGGTGCATGCGCTTGCCAGAAAGACAGAGAGACAGAAAGGGAGAAAGCACCCCCCAGCGGGGATGCTCACGCTGCAATTCCTTTTCCTCCATTCTCCTCTTGGGATCTTGGGCACGCATGTACATGCACCTGGCGTGAGTGTTAAGCCACCGGGTCCGGGACTCAAACCATGGTCAGCTACATGGGAGTTCAGCGACATAGCCATTATGCTAACTGCTGGTCCCAATATTTTGACAAACGCCTATTAAAAAGCAATAAAATATCAAATAGTTATCCAAGGAAAGACTCCTATTTTCAGGCTTTATAATTAAGCCATATCCTAATGATCCTTAAAGAGAAACACACATGTACACATCTATTCTATCTGTATGTTTCTATACATGTATTTATAATGGCTTCCAAACTTGTATCTCCAACCTTAATATATATATACCTATGTATTAAATATGTACATATGTTATATCTATATTACATATCTCGCATAACATTTTTATAATGTATTATCACAATTTTAGTGGCAGATTTTATTTTATCAGGTCCTCGGGAATGTCAAGGTGTATTTTTCTATGTTTTTCTATGCAAAAATGCATCATGACTGAGAGAAGCAGATGGTGTAATAGTTACGTTGCTGGATTCACAAATAGTCAACTGGAGTTGGAGTCCTGGACCCAGCAGCTTAAAACTCACACTGTGTACATGTACGTGCATGCCCAAAATACCGAGAGGAGAATGGAGGAGAAGGGACTGTGATGTGACATCCCCCGGGGGGGGGGGGATTTCTCGCTTTCCATCATCTCTCTGTCTCTCTGGCAAGTACATGCACCCTATAGCAAAAATCTCTTAAAACAAACAAATAAACCAAAAGCATCATGACTTTCTTGACAACCCAATAATAGTGTTACTAGGAACGTGAAAAAATTTTCTTAAATTTTTCAGTTAAACAATTTTTTTGAGGGAAAAATTCTGATCTATATTAGCAAATTGGAATTTGAGAAGACCTCCAGTCTTCACAAATTAAAACTGTTTACTAAATTCAGTACAAGTAGGCTGCAAAGAGTTGGTGGAAAAATAGAATTAAAGTATTTAATAAATAAATTTTTGTGCAAAAAATTTTTTTGAAACCCATGCAGTTTTGTCATTACTATGCATTTTTCTTGAACTTTATATGGTATCTGACATAGCTGAATAGTCTTCACATAGGTGAATCTGGCATAAATCAAGATTATGAGTAAGTTACATATAGTTTACCTTCAACACTGAAATATGCAATACACTGAGAATAATTATATTGTGAAGAGAATCTCACCTGGTCATGCATTAGTGCTGCAATGTGTGTTGTTTTGCCTCCAGGTGCAGCACACAAGTCTAGAATCTTCTCTCCAGGTTGAGGATTTAGAACATGAGTTACTACAGCAGAAGGCAAATTCTGTAAGGAAAAAATGCAATCAATTTTCAATGATTCTGAAATTTTTAATTTCAGAGTCAGATAATATAAAAAAACTTCTCAAGGTAATCAAGTACAGCATCTTCAAGTCTACTAAGAGTTTGGTTCCTTGGGAACCAGCAGCTAGCATAATGGCTATGTCGCTGGACTCCCACGTAGTCAACTGCAGTTCGCATCCTGGACCCGGTGGCTTAAAACTCACGCCGGGTGCATGTGCGTGCATGCCCAAGATCCCGAGAGGAGAACAGAGGAGAAGGGATTGCAGCGTGGTTATCCCCCCTGGGGGGTGATTTCTCACTTTCTGTCTCTCTGTCTGGCAAGCGCACACACCCTATAGCAAAAACCTCTCCAAAAAAAGAAAAAAAGGAAAAGAAAAAGGACATTAGGGAAAAATAAAATCCAAATGAGGTTTGATGTTTATATTAATGTGATATATACAATATATACAACATTTGAAGTCATTTATGTAATATAAATACATAAGATATTACCATTAGTGGAAACTGGATGGAAATACAGGCATTCTGTACTACTTTGCGATTCTGTCTAAACTTACTCCAAAATAAAAACTTTATTTTAAAAAAATGACTCCAGAGAACTAGGCACTTTTTGTATTTTTTTTTTTTTTTTTTTAGTTCTCCAAACGAATTGATAAAAACTAATTTACTCCACCATACTGGTGACTAGTAGATAAAATTATAAAATTGGTGAGACAACAAGACTCCCTATATAGGCTAAGATCTATGAAAAGCCTTGATATCTTTTATAATTAGATCCAAATTAGTCTCTAAAATCACAATGCAAGTTGTAAAATGTGGCTATCATCAGTTTCTTAGTTTTTAAACAAGCAAAGCAGGGAACTGACACCTAAGCGCGAAAGTGTTTTCAGTTTTGTACTGATGTGTCAGCAACTATTTCAGCGATCTGGAGCTTTTGAAAAGGGCTTTGATTTAGATCATGCCTCTCACATTGATGTACCTCTAGTGAGTGTCTTTTAATCAACATCTGGACTTTATAATCATGAGTGTCAAGTATGTTTATCTGAAAGAAAGGAAACTTAAATCCAGACATTACAAATATATTTCATTAACATGTGATGTAACTGTAAAACTTTATCTATTTGTAAAACTCATTATATATATAAAAATTCGAGGACAATAATGATTCTTTTTAATCCCACTTTCTTTTTAAAGTAAATATAGTCTACACATTCTTTTGAAAATTTTCTTTATGAAAACTACTATGACTTGGTTCTGGTCTGCACTGAATTAAGCTATTTATATTTTTCTGGATCAGATATGGCCTAGTTGAGAATCTGGTGATTCTGAACTAGTTTGAAAAGGAGATGTAAACATAAAAAGATCAACCAGTTTTTCTTATACTCTGACCACAAAGTTTTAAGAAATTGCAAAAGCATTGAGGAATCTTAATGAACTACGTAAATAGCTCGGAACCCCCACTCCCTCAGCTTGAGACTCAGACCTCTAAACTGGGGCCCAGGAATTGCATTTCAAATAGGCCCTGCAGGTGATTCAGATGTAGGTCTCCTATAGGTCACATTTTGAGCACTGGCACAGGATCAAGGGCACAGCTTGAAATCAGGAAGCCCTGGGTTCAAATTTTGACTTTACTGATTTCTGGCTATGTAAGACTCAGCCAACCACACATTTAGTCACTAAAAAATTACTGAGTGCCTACTATGTTCATATACTTTTACTTTTCCAAGCTTCCATTTCCTTACTTTTGGTTAAATATGGGGCACAGAAGAAAGTACATAGTATCTGGACTTAGGTGTACATTAAGACGCTATCAATTACTAGTAGTGCGACCTTAGTCAAAAACCCTAACACATCTGGTCTTCGGTATCTTCATCTTATATTTGGAATAATATTGATAATAACACCACTTATCAAGCAGATTATAACAAATACATCAAGTGAATTCATGTATATAAAAGTACTTAATAAACTGGGCCAGAAGGTGATATGGAGTTTTGGGGAGCTGGATTCCCACTCAGCTGGCCAAGATTCAAGTCCTGGACCTGGGGCCTTGCTATATCACTTTTTCTCTTTGTCTCTCTCTGGTATATGCCTGTATCAAATTTAAAAATAATAATGATAAATAAAATAAAGAAATATTTTTTAAAAAGTACTTAATAAACTGAATGAGACAAAACAAATTGTTACAACACAGAAATTGATAACCTGAAAAAACTCTGATAGTAAACTATTTGAATCTTACTCAAAGTCAGGAGTGGAACACTTACATATCAAACGCATGTATTATTCAGGAATTAATAATCTAAGATGAAACAGTAATTTTAATAAATTATTAAATTACTTCTGGGGCAAAGAAGGATTTAAAAGTAGTTTAAAATCAACTGAGAAAATGAAAAGAAATGGGAGTGCTTACAAGGTTTTTTCCTTACTGGTCTACCAAAGATAGAAATATATGTAAGTAGTCCACAAAAAAATGTATGTTAATCGAAATTTTAAAAAGAAACCTTAGATTTCAAATAATTCACTGAAGTATGTTTGAATATCATTGACTATTTTATTATTTATAAAAGTAAATACTTACCTGTAAAAATAAGTAACCAGGCAGCACATTGTCAAATGAAGGGCTGAGATATACTGGTTCCGTCATTCTTATGCCTATTCCTCTGAAAAACAGGAAACCTAATGTTAGTCCGTGTGAATTTATAAATTACATATTCTATACCAACTACATGTCTAGGAACATACTCAAGTAGCATGTCAAGTTTACAATGCTTTACCTTTTTAAAACCCTTTTATTCAATACCAAAATACTTAGAATAGTCTTCTGAATTGTTTTTAGATTTTTCTCTTGTAGAATAGGAAGACAACAGAACTAAAAAGGATAGTCACATAAATTTTTTCATTTAGGCACAAATGAGACTCTGTAGAGATCTGAACAGACTAAAAAGCAAAGAACACCTGATACTTTATTGATTCATCCTATTTTTCCAGTACCAGAATTACAACAGACATTTCTGAATGATTCAGTTTGGGAGGTACTCTCCTAGGAACTTGTATGAAATGAAAAAGTACTTAGAATCATGCTCATGCTGAGCAATAACAAACACTCCCTACTGCTCTCCTCTCATCTCTTTATAGAACAATCGCCCATTGCTGACACAATCCTAGGATGACCTTTTCCACCTTTGTCCCATTTTATGAGTGACTATGGAACTGATCACAGCAGGAAGGGCCAGGACCCAGGATGCATGGTGGACAGTGATTCATAAAGACAAACATAGCAATCTGGGAGAGGCTATCAGAGACTATCAAAGGGGAGAAAGCTCACAAGAGAAACTGAAGCATGGCCTGGTGTATCAGGCCATACCAGAGAAAGCAGACAAAGGAGAAATGAAAGCAATGTTCTGAGGATCAGAAGGGCACAGAGAAAAGTACAGTTTAATTATACAGGCAAAGGTAAGAATCAGGATTTAAGGTATAAAAGTTCAAAGAAGAATCCAAGTTGGGAGCACAAGAATTGAGTCCTCAGAAACAATACGGTGGACAAGTTCACAGATAGCTCACGAACTACCTCATGTGTTGATCTTGGCAGAGAAGGAGCGACAGTTTACACTCTGTTTGATATTGGCAGTGTAAATTTATGCTAGCGACCCTACAATCAAAGCTGACTCTTCCATTCTTTCCTCTTCCTATTCCCTATACCACATTACTCAATAATATATATACCACTTAAAATCTCTGAATCTGTACTTTTATCATAGTTAAGCCTCAGTCTCTGCTCTAGTCAGGATCAAATCAAACCACTGTATTCACTTTCATGCAAATAGTTCCCACCCCTGAGCAGGAAATGTACAAAGGAACCTTCCAAAATGTCACTGCCTCCCATTCAAAAGTCAGTCCTTTGTTGAGACTCCAGGTTCTCCTACCTATATCAATACCTCACTTACCATCCAGAGCCCAGATTCATTACTGAACATTTTAAATTCCATGACCTGATCAATTCTTGGTTTAAATGATTTTTTTACTTCAGGACTCTAATCCTATGAAAAACACTGAAAACTTTAAAATGTACATGCTTGCTTTGCTGAGTGCCTACTATGTTCATGTACTTTTACTTTTCCAAGCTTCCATTTCCTTACTTTTGGTTAAATATGGGGCACAGAAGAAAGTACATAGTATCTGGACTTAGGTGTACATTAAGACGCTATCAATTACTATCCTACTTAGTGCTTTAAGTTCTAGTTCCCTTTTACCATCTCTTCCTAATCACGCCTACCAGCAACAGTGAGTCCATCTACACAATATTTAACTTTAAAAAAAAACATGACAGAGAATAAGGTTAAATATGGGGCACAGAAGAAAGTACATAGTATCTGGACTTAGGTGTACATTAAGACGCTATCAATTACTATCCTACTTAGTGCTTTAAGTTCTAGTTCCCTTTTACCATCTCTTCCTAATCACGCCTACCAGCAACAGTGAGTCCATCTACACAATATTTAACTTTAAAAAAAAACATGACAGAGAATAATTTAAGCCAGGCATTATTCAGGTATGGAATTACTAAATTTATATCAAAGTTATTTTGTGGCCATGTTCTCTGTATGGTGATACAAAGTACGAGGTCCCATATCTCACTACCATCTGTTAGTAAGACTACCTCCATGAGTCTGTGAATGATTTAACCTACCTGGAATTTAAGAAACCAAAGAGCCCAGATTCATTAACTGAATAACAAATATACCATAGATAGAATTAGTTCTAAAATTCTTAAAGATAAGTAACACAGTATACATGAAGCAATTCTATGTTACAGAAACATGCACTGTCTTACATAAGGAAAGACAGAAATACAACTAAAAAAACCCTGAGTTTAAAAACCAATAGTTTTTGTTTGTTTTTTCTCATTAAACTTTGTTTTAATGGGTCTCAAAATTCTGTGACAGATTTTTGGTCAAGTTGTTTCCATTGAAAAGTACTGATTTTAAAAACTAATAACTTAAAACTGCCACACACAGAAAAACAAAATGGTCCACAAAACCTTTTCCTTTCCTTCTGAAGGTTTTACTATGCACTGTTATCATTAACCAGTCTTTTACTATTAAATTTAAATGGCCAATTGAGACAAACAGTTCTGAGACTGTTCTTCCACCACTGATTAAGACTGGGGTGGCAGGAATGAGGGATATTCATTTAGCCTTCTGAGCTTTCTGGGTAGACTTGGTGACCTTGCCAGCTCCAGCAGCCTTCTTGTCCAC